GCTTATCACGCTCTCCAGAGCTCAGAGGCTCTTTAGAGTCCTCTGATGCATCTTCTGTAGCCAATGAAGCTGCCCAGCTTGCAAGAGAAGACCCTCTTGCCACACAGGTATGGAAAATGTACGCCAGAACTAAAGCCGGTCTGCCTCACAAACAGCGCATGGAAAACATCACTTGGCGTATGATGTCTATGGCTTTGAAACGAGGAGACGCTATTGAAAGCAGTCCCAAAGGCAAGGGAAAAGCCTTGACTCTGCGTCAGATCCCACGGCCGCTTCCACTTCTTCAGTCAAACTAGATGAAGAAGAGGAGTCATCTACTGTTGGTGAACGAGGCAGGAGGAAAGACAAAGCAAAGGACAGAGTTAAAGTTGTCGGTTTTGATGGAACAAATCAAGACGAAGATTCAACTTCAAATGACGAGTGAGTGGCATGCTCTTGCACCACTTTCGCCCTTGATCTGGGTTCTTACTTATTACTTAGGGTCACACCAATGGATTGGCGTGCCATATCCCGTTCACGTTCTCGCATATCCATGGACTGGAGGCCTGCATCACGCTCCCGCTCCCGGCCCCCGGAATCCACCAGTTCCGCCTCGACCTTTGCAGGTATAGATGCTATTGGCATGAGTTCAAATATACACTTTCCGCCTCTGTCGAGTTCTATGCCTAGTACGAACGTTATGCACAGCGCTCACAAGCCTATGTCGGGCTTGTCGGTAACTCGGATGAATGGGATGAGTATGAACCTCGGGATGGGCTCAATATACGAAGATACCGGCGGCTTCGATACCTCAACAGATTCGAGGTACAATTTTCCTAGTCACCAGTTTTCTAGTATGCATTCGCCGCCATTTTCCCCTTCATCGTTACCTTCCTTTGCTATGCACCACACGGCCAACCATCATCATTCCCATGACTCTACAAACCATCTCGGGCTAAATACCTCGGGTTTGCCTTTCAGTCTTGGGTCAGCAGGATCATTTTCTGCAGGCGGTTTACGTAGCAGCTCTCCACCTCCGTCCTTCGACTTCCCTCGACATGTCCGGAAAACGAGCTTTGACCATACGGTTTCCAAAGAGTCGATATTTCCCGGCTCACCAGATTATGGAGGGAGACATCAAGTCAACGGACGTCCTCTTAGCCCTCGGAGAGTACATGCTGCATTACCGTCTCGCTCAGGAGAAGCTGGACTTGGGATGAAGAGGCAGGCGGATGCTCCACATGTTGAGTCGCTTCTTCGAGGCGATTTAACAGATTCACAATATGATTTTTCGGGCTTCGGTGTCTCGCAGTCGTTACCCGCTCACCCACAAACACAACCACGTTTTGGCGCACACCATCCTATACAGTCGTCGCATCACATTCCTCACCATCTCAATCGGCACCATCATATGGGCTCAGGTGACGTTGGAGATACTGTTTCTGGACCTGGTAGCCCATTTCACTCTACGGCATACGCATTTACTTTTCCTTCCTATGATGATAACGCAACATTTGAAGGAAATGGTGACCCTTCGACGAGCCATCGGGCTAATTTTGACCCGCAAGGTTATGACTTCGAAGGGTTCGAAGATGCAGTAGGTCCTACTGCAAGATTTAGATCTTCGCAGCCTTCAACAGCATCTAGCCATCCACATTCGCCATATATTGGTAGCCCTCCCGGCGAACTACCGGCGCATCACACGCACATTTCCAATCATAGTCAAGGAAGACAATCCCATCATGCATCTTCAAGTAGTGGGGGATCCGGCCTCTCACCAGCGGCAGCTTCCGCATCGGCTGTCTTGGCGGAAGGATATGCGAGGCTGAGTGCTGCGAACGGAATCGATGATCTGACTGGTGGAGGTCTTGGACTCAGGGGGATGGGTATGAGTAATGGTGGAGGGGACTTTACGCTAATGAGAAGTCTGGGATCGTTGTATGGAGATTCGCCCACTCATGCGACAAATCCCGGTGGTCCATTCACGCACGTTGATCCGACGCAGATCCTTGCGGGATCTGGTGGTGTATACGCGCATACGAGCCCGTCAAGCGATGGGTGGGGACCAACGGCTACTGCTTTGCCTACAGGAGGTCCAGGCAGTAGTGCCTCACCAGAGCCTTCGAGTGCAAGTACTCCGCCCAGCGGGGTTGAAACAGCTGGGGGCGCTAAAGGCTCAATGTCTAAGGCTGGGCGAAAATATATATCGCTTAAGGACGAAAAGATCAAGAAGAATGAGACGTTGCGGAGCGGAAGCAGTACACCGGATTTGGAAGCGAATCCGCCTGCGAATTTAAAAGATGGAAAGGCTAGTGGAGAAGATGGAGATAATCCGACGCATTGTACCAACTGTCACACGACGAACACGCCACTGTGGAGACGGGATCCAGAAGGACAACCGTTATGTGAGTCTGTTTTCTGGGCAAATTCAAAGTTGTACCCTTATAGATTTCTCGCAGGTAATGCATGCGGCCTGTTTTATGTGAGTGTAGTCATTTGAGCATTTGCCGTATTCTAATTTATTTTTTTGTAGAAACTTCATGGAGTTGTACGCCCACTCTCTCTCAAAACAGACGTGATCAAGAAGAGGTAGGCGTTATTAAATTTTTTATTAGTTTGTGAGCTTATTTGTTATCGCAGAAACCGTGCTTCCGGTACGCCTTCCTCGTCAAGTTCGCGGAAATCAAACTCTGGGCTTCCGAAGCTGGCCTCGTCCGGCAGACCCCGATCGCAATCTAATACGGCGACTGGAGGTATAACCGGAAGAGTGGGCATGGGACAAGGCGCTGCTAGTGTGGCAGCTGCAGCAAGCGGCGGTGCAACGTCAGGAGGTGCCAGTACGATGGTGAAAAGGCAACGACGAACTAGTGGAGCTCAGGGAGGTGCAAAGCGAGGTGATTCTACTTGAGAGCCTCGGAGTGCGTGCTCTGTTTTGAATCTTTTATTCTTTTTTGAAAATATGCATCGTTTTCTCTCCTTCCGCCATTCCTTATCTTTCATCAATCGTTTCCCCTCTGGTCATATAATTGCCATATATATGGCGAGAACCAATGTTGTAGACTGTACTAGTACTTTTTTTTTTTGGCTGATTCCATCACTATGTCACAATCTTTTTTCACTTTGTCCTTCATATATTAATAGGACTGACTGCTCAAGCTCAACTACCATTTGTAATATTACAGGTTTTTGTTCTTTAGACTAGCTATCATACACCTCATGCCAACAACAGAGATCATAACGGCCAACAGCGACCACTGAACTTAACATAGGTTATGATTACATTTGACGATGGGTCTTCCAAAGGTTCAGCGCTCTACCACTCTGCCAATCATAGTTTCTTACTTCTCTCCAATCATCTCCTCCAACTTGTCCCACATGTCTTTTCGATTCTTTGGATTCTTTGCCTAGGCTCCAGGTTCCTTTTGGGCGAGGTTGTATGCTAAAAACTTTCCTGAGCCCAGTATGTCTTGACCTTCTGGGGCCAATAGAATTTGGGGTTGAAAGTAAGAAGAAAGTTGAAAGTTTGGAGGGGTCACATAGACAGGAACGTTTGCAAATGCATCGGGGGTTGTACCGATTATTTTCATTCCAATCATCATCAGACCGTTTAGAGGAAACGGAAACTTGCCGTAGCTGAAATCTTCGAAGTTGACGAGACCTGGTGATAGCGGTACTGGGGGTAGCGGATATTGAATTCCTTGAAAAGAAACTATTAGCTTTGTTTTTCATCATGGGTCAATACATACCTCGGTAAATGCGTCCAAGACACATCTGTCCCGTTTGGACTGGTCCATGAAGGACATTGTCTTTCCCCTGCCTGCTTTGAACTTTTCTTTCAAAGAAAGATCATGAACACTCAAATCGTTCCATTACGGTCTGACCGACATTAGCGACAGAAAGACACTGAGCGTTCTGAGCGAGGCATCCCCATGTCGTGAGGAAAAATGCAATGGCGAAACGAGATACGGCTTGAACAGCGAATCCTCGTTCAATATCGTCTGCGTTCTCGACGATCATTCCCGTTGGGACACCATTCTGGCACATGACAAGATAATCGATACCATGTTCCATTACAGCGTTCTGAATGGCCTTCGCAGACGCGCGCATGCCTTTGGTATCAGAAAGGTCGCTCTTGATATACTCGACTTGAATCTTGTGTGGTGCCAGCTTTTGCATGTCCTGCAGAATGCTGGCTGCCCATGTCTCATTGCGACCAAATATGATGATCCTACTGCATCCGAGTTTGGCGAGTAGACGAGCAATAACTGCCCCTATTCCTGTTGTGAACCCGATAATGACTGCTGTTTTGTGTTCCTGGAAAGCGCTTTCGTAGCGCTGGAACACTGAGAGGCGTTGTGATGATTAGAAGGGATGTGAAGAGTCATTGCTCTCTTTAAACTATCAACGGAATGAGCTCGGGGTGGTTCATGACTAGTATCAACACTGTGCGCTGATTCATGCAGTATTCATGATTCAACCGTCCAACTTCCGGCGATTCGGCGCTTCTTTAAAGCGCTCTTTTCTTTCCTAACCTCGACAAGACTCCACCCACCATAGTCAACGGAACGAAATTTCATACGGGCTCTGTGGGTGAGCTTGCCACGGCAACTCAATCGCAATCTTGGTGACGTGTACAGTGGGACAAGATGGAGTGGAAAGTTCGTTATAGGCTCATCTGAACGCAAGCGATCGCACAGATAAAAATGAACGCAACAAGTTCAACACAAAACAAAGAAACCAGACACAGTCTTTACGTTATCCTCAAATCTACAGTCCGCAGAATGGCTTCTCAAGATGGCATCTGGGCTAGGAGCTTCTGGAATCTGTGGGAACCATCTCTTCAGACTTGTCACTAGAGGGTGAACGCCGCTCTGTAGACCAGGACTAGTAGCAAAATGGAACCAGCGCAGCAGCGGTCAACAGGCGCTGCTGTTCTATGGCCAGGGAATCCGTTTTGTGAGGACTTTTCAACGCCAGAGCTGTCAGTGCGATTCTCATCTATGTTTCGGTCCTCTAACTATGGGCACATGGTGTAGTTGGTTATCACATCCGCTTAGCACACACTATGCGGGGGGTGCTGGGTTCAATTCCCAGTGTGTCCATCTCTTTCATTGGTTGCTTTTTGACCAGATAGTTTTCATTGACGACAGTTGTGGCCTTTGAATAGCGCATATATGTGGACCGGAGCGGACGATATTCTTCAAAGGAGCCAATTTTGGATTAAAAGCGGGCCTTTTGGCAGCAATGTACTTTGAGTTTGTTCCGTTTGTTCACAACATTCTTCAACCGCTCTGTTGGGTCTTCACAGATAATAATGCCCCTTTTCTACTCCACTGCTGTGTCTGATACTGATCTATAGTGATTCTGTTACTGAGAGACCTGCAGTGGCTCGGTTTTAATTTGGAGCCTGGACAACGGCGTTTCTAATTTACTGCTTCAACTTTTTAAATGAACAATTGAGAGTTGGTCCTTGGTTCATTAGCTTTGTAGGGACTCTTCCTAGTACTGCTGTAGATAAATCGAATTGGGCCAATTTCTTGTTTAAGTAACCCAGTGGCGCATCAATTGGGTCATGCAATAAGTTATTGAATAACTTTGCGCTTTGTCCCTTTCTTCCACACTGGCCCACATATTCCGACCAAATGCGCCTGCTTCGCGCAACAACACTCTACCACCAACAGCATTTCCAGATGGACTGCAGCCTGTAAGCTCTGGAGACTTAGCCGGCGCTAGAGGAATTCAGCGGAGAGTTTCACGAACAGATCTGGATTTTGAACGGGCTCTGCAGGGTCAAGGCACTGTCATGCTCAGAGAAGGTCTAGATATAGATTCGCTTGGGAAACTTGTCGAAAGCCCGCCTCCAGTTCTACCCAAGAGCCCTAGACACAAAACTCCCCCAACAAAAAGACTTCAGCCATCTACACCCACAATTGTACCACCAACTCCTTCGCCCGTCGCTGGTCCATCCAGCGCAAGGATACCCCAACCATCGCCCTCGGCGTCAACCAACGACTTTTTCACCGACGACGACGACATTAATACCAAACGACGCTCAATGTACAGGTCGCCGGGCACATCCAGCAGCCCTGATCTCGCAACTCTTCTTCGTAAGGCAAAGGAACGAGGAGGTATAGTCAATCCGTCTCTCTACAGAGACAGAGACAGGCGCAGAGATTCTCCGCCTCCTTTGCCATCACATTCAAAAGCTCGCGACGACTGGGTTTTCGCCAGTCCAAATGGCAATGGAACCTCACCGGAAAAGGTCAGTTGTCTCTCAATTCGATGCAACTTGATCTCAAACTTTCTGCTCCTAGCCCAAGTCGTCAGTCAGATCAAAGGCCAGCTCGTTTCTCGGAAAAATGTTGGGCCAAAACACTGTTAGGGAACGATCTGTGAGTTTCTTTTATAACAACCACCATTGTTTATATTGATAACTTTGCAGAAAACCGACGCAAGTTCCCGGAACAATGCCACTCCTTTATACGATACTTTCACTCCACCTGTGCCGCCATTGCCACAGACTCCAGTAGGTTCCCCTATTGCCGACGTTTTCTCTTCCACAAGTCCCCTACGGCCATCTTCGCCCCCGACTACAAAACCGTTACCTCCCATAATGGGCATGGCCTCTCCATCTCGAGACAATGACAATGACGACGACGATGAACGGTCCATGGTCTTTGTTGACAAGATAACTGTCGATTCCGATGCCAATGTCACAGTAAAAGGGAAACGCCGTAGCATGAGCCTTAGCAATACCGATAACAATGTTATGCCAAGTTTCGTGCCTCGAACACCAGATCGCTCCTCATTGCGAAGTCCTGTCGTCGCCAAAACCGACGAGGAATTCAAAAATAAGGGGATCCGCCCCGCGGATACTACATTAAATGGGATTTTGACCGATTTCAAAGGTGAACTTTCTCAACTAGACCCTATCATCACCTCCAGTTTGGATCTCCGGGACCCTTCCACCCCAGCCAGGCGTGCAGCCTATTTAAATTCCAGCACTAACGGTTCTTCCCGTGAAGGTTCTGGAAATACCGAGTCGAGACGTGCCTCTTCAATTCTTTCTGCACCTACGGTAACATTACAACCACCGTTCCGAACAGACGACGAAGTGGATGGTTCCAATCCACCTTCACCAGGCCCTGCTTCGCGCAGGGTATCAGCTATGATGTCCACTCTTGAACCAGCCATGTTACCTCGTAATACACCCCTCCAAACTCCCGTGCGATCCCGCGATAGCATGACCCGACAGAGCCTCAGTCCCCTTCGATCAAGGAGTGGAACAGAGGCGCAATATGGGAAACTGCCTTCCCCTCATTCGCCAACATCAAGCTCAGCTCGTGGCCTTCGTGTGATTCATCGGTCAACTGCGTCAAGTTCAGAGCCCTCACTTATACCTAGTGTTGTTGCGGCTGATGATGAGCGCATATGTAAGTGCCATCACAATCTTCTTTTCTTTCCCGAATCATCATGCTACTGGTGTCGCTGTTTAAACATCGATTAACCTCTTTTCTTGGTCTAGTTTCCCAGCAAGACTTATCGGTCCATGACTTTGCTCTCATGCGGCCAACTTCGTCGGGGTATTCTCCTGGAAGACGTGGCAGCACCTATACTGTCAGTGCCGGCGGTAGCAATACCGCTGCAGGAGAAGATGCGCCCGACATGGACGTGAGAGGCCAAGAGTTGGCTTCTCGTTGTTGGAATGAGGATGAAGAATTCTTGGGAAAGGAGAAAATCGCAGAATGGTTGGGTGGAACGTAAGTTTTACTCAACTTTTCTTTTAGGTCCGATGCTGACGAACATTCCAGAGGACGTATCAACAAAATCGCTTTACAGCATTACATGGCCAACTTTGATTTCTCAGGACTACGGCTTGATATGGCCTTTAGGTGTGTTTGGAAGCTGTGTGCCCACTCATTAGCATGTTCTAACGACTTTGCTCAGACGTCTGTGCGCGAAACTTTACTTGAAGGCTGAAACCCAGCAGGTTGATCGTATATTGGAAGAGTTCAGTCGACGATATTGGGATTGCAACCCCAACACCTTGTATGGGAGCTCTAGTGCGCATCTCGACTGCTGCTTGATGTCTGTTCTGTCTAAACTTGACTTTTGTAGATCTCGTACACGCTGTCGCCTACTCCCTCCTGCTCCTCAACACTGACCTCCACGTTGCCGAGCTCACTTCTCGCATGACTCGCAGTCAATTCGTCCGAAACACTCTAGCGGCTATTCAAATGCAGCTACAGCCCTCTGCGACTTCCACACCTCCACAAGTCGTGCCACCCGATCCCTACGAAGATTCCGGCAGTCTTCGTAGCTTCCCAGTGACTGGTAACGGTCAAGGCTCCAGTCCGAACTCTTACACCGCAGCAGCGGACGGGTCTGGGATGGATACTATCACTCGATCCAAGCGGAGTGATAGTATCACGAGTTGGAATAGTATCTCGCGAGATACGATATTGTCTTCGCCTGCTTTATCATTTGCTACCACTCAAGCCACTACACCGAACGTCGACAACGATAGCGTTGCCGACCTCAAATCGTCCACAATGTCGTCATCGATGGTCTATGGGCGCGTTTGGGAGGCCAACATGGAGAATCTTCTGAAGGTATACATTCATATTGTTTTATCTATGGTTCGCACCTCACGTTTCTTTTTCATGGTAGGAAATGTACAGTGCTATCAAGAGCCAGCAGATTCTTCAGCCATCGAATACCGGCCGGGCCTCAATGTCGTCACTGAGTCCGGGAGGACCGATGCTCAGAAATCGTAGTTTGCGAAGTCAACCGGACAGACTGATGACTTTGAAGAGGGGTAGTATAAGAGGGATACAGTCTATCATGGGACAGGGAGGAGCTAGTCCTTATAGCAGCAACAGCAGTATCGACGGCCGTGTTAGTCCTTCACCGAGTTTTGCTACTTCTCTGAACGAGGTGAAATCGCCATTGTTTCAACTTGGGGAGAGTTGTACTCATCCCCCATTTAGGTCACGCACGGATCAAGTTCCTCGTTTCTTTCGCCAACACTCGGCTTTGCATCCAACCTCAGTCATTCGATTATCCGTGAAACACAAGAGGATGATGATCGTAGTGTGCACAGCGATGTATCGACCGGTACGACCATCAGCATTACCGATGAGGAGCTTGCGCTATTAGGTGCTCCGTGGGCGAAGGAGGGTATGCTTTGTCGAAAGCAGTACTGGGAAGCTGCAAATAAGCGGGCTAAAGACAAAAACTGGCTTGACGTTTTCGTTGTCATACAGAAGGGAGAACTCAGCATGTTTACTTTTGGAGAAAATGGCGCTGGCGGGTCGGGCGTCGTTGGTGGTGGTAATTGGCTGGTGAGTTGACCCATTTTTTGAATCGGCTAGCTTTGACGAGTCTTCTAGTCCAACGCACGCCCTGTCGGCGTTGTACAACTTTCGCATTCTCTGTCTCATGCACTACCCCCTCCGGGTTACAATCGACAGCGACCCTATTGTATGGTCCTCACGCTTTCAAACGGTGGGGTGTACTTCTTCCAGGCTGGTACCGAAGAACTAGTCAATGAATGGGTTTCGACATGCAACTACTGGGCGGCCCGGACGAGTAAGGAGCCTCTAGCTGGTGGTGTTTCCAATATGGAATATGGCTGGAATCGAGTTCCGGATCCCGCTCATACGCGTTCACAATCGGATAATGAATCAGTGCGAGATAGTGACGTTACAAGTATTCGAAGTGGCAAGAGTTCGCGGAGCAGGTTCAATTGGCGGGAAGGTGCAGCTACTGTTCGTGCTGGACAGTCGCCTTGGAACGACCGGATTATCATCAATGATTGGAAACCTCCTATGCCTCCGTCGATTGCTAGTCTGCATGATGAAGAGACACAATTAGACGCTTTGAGGAAACACGTCAAGTCCTTGAAGAAGGACCTCCAGAAACATAACGAACTCCGGGAACCCATGTCAGCCTTGGTATGTCCAATTCTCATTCACATCTTTGTTGATATTCACGTCTTGTCATACAGTACCAACCTCGCACCAGTAACGCCATCAAGTCCATGAGTAACTGGGAAAAGAAGTCCCAATATCTGCTGACTGAGATTGTCAAATACGACTCA